GCACTCTCCAGCCACAGTGGACATGATGAGCGGCTCTGCCCCGGCCGCGCCCTCCGCACAATCCTCTCTCGATCCCTGCCAGGCTGCCCAGGTCATCGCTGAGGCTCCAGCTCCCTCGGTCCCTCTACCCTCTGATGCAAACTGGAACGATCTCACTGACGTGTTGTTTGATGGTTGGCCTCCACCTGCGGGGATATGAGATCCGAGAGAGGAGACCGTGCCTTTCGGGGCGGGGGGCGGGGGGCGGTACCTTCAGCGCCAGCCCAGGCCTGGTGGCAGGAGGCGCGCGCGGACGCAGGCCGGCAGGTGAGCGAGTGCGTGCCCGTTGGACTCGGCGCCCGGCCTCTCCAGCGCCGTGCAGCCCTGCACACTTGCCCGGCGAGCCTCATCCGCGTGTGCCTGCCGCGTGCACGCCAGAGCAGAGGTGTGTGGCTGTTTACTATGGATTCAGCGAGAGCGTGCTGGTCTTCCAGGGGCCTCCAGGTCCGTGCTGCACAGTTTCTCTCTGATCCAAACTGACCTGTTTATTTGACAGATGGAGAAACCAAGGCCGCAAGCTTCCCGGGGCGATGCAGCAGGGCCAGGGCCCCCCCCCGGGATCACCTCATCCCCACCTTCCTGATGAGAAATGCGGTTCCTAAGATGCAAGTGACTTGCCCGGGGTCACCTGGCTTCTAAATTCAAGGCTGGGGTCCGGGCCTCCCTTCCGGGGTTCCTGGGCCCTTGGGAGCCCCCAGACTTGTCTGCAGTACCCTCCAGCCTGGCCGCCTCCCCCTGCACTGGGGCCCACACCATGGGATGTGCTGGTCAACGAGCTGTCCCCAGGGGCGGCCGGATCTCCTCCAGAGAGAAAAGAAATCCCTCCGAAGGATCTCCAGCCCCACGCAAGCGTTTCCTGTCTCCAGGAGAGCCAAGGGCTGTGTATGTGCCCTTCCGGAGCAGCAGCTGAGTGAGGTGCTCCCCGGGGACGGGCGGGCCGCAGGCCTGCAGGTTCTGCACAAAGCGAGGAAGCATGATGTCACCAGAGGGAGGTAAACAGAAGGACACTTCCTCTTTCACTTCACAGGGCTCCTGCCTGGTCCAGAAGTTTCTCGAACTACAGGAGAGTTTCCCTCCCGGCCTGGACAGGGGCTCGGGTCGCCCTTCTGGGCTCGCCCCCTTTGTGGGACGGAGAGGTCAAACAGACAAAATAGGTGCAGGTCCCAGAGGGGACACTGCTAAAATCCCAGAGGCTCTCGGCGGAGGGGTTTCTGCGGTTGATGGCAGGCCCACCCTATCCCGCCCCCTTCAAGGGTGGGGAAGCTCAGTCCCCAAGGGTTCAAGCAGCCGCTGCTCAGATGACTTGTAACTGCTGTGAACAGACAAGGCCCCAGTACTGTGGTTTGGGGGCTCAGGAAACTCAGCTTACCCAAATAGCTTTCTCAGTTGTGTGCCTCCGTTTCCCCCATCAGACGTTTCCTCCCTGGGGTGTCTAGGCTGGAGCAGGAGGGACACCACGGTTCAGTGCGTGGCAAGTCCTCTTCTCTTTGATCTCAATCCCCTCCCCGATGAAAGGGACGCTCACAGCTGCCTCACGGAGCCACTGGGAGGACTCCCGAGGCAGGGTGTGTGCAGATCCCAGCTGGGGCACCAGCCCACAGCGGGTGCTTAACACTGCTTTTAGTGGATGTCAGGATTAGACCTCCCGTAGCCATTGAGACTAGGCAACAGGTGATAAGAATCCTCTAATAATGGGAGTTTATGCAAGACAAGCATTTGTTTTGTCTCATGTTGGAAAAATCTGGAACTCCACAGTCATCAAAGGGCCAGGTGCCTCTGATCCTTCTGCATGGCCATCCCATCACCTGGTGGTACAAAGTGGCTGCTAGAGATCCAGCCATCACATCCCAGCTCTGGGGAACAGGAAGGAGGACTAAGGAAGAAACGTCGTAAAAAAAAAAAAAAAAAAAAAAAAAGGAAGAAACGTCGTGCATCTGCGCTTTCCTGGAAGCCTCACGTAACGGCTCTGCACTTATTCCTATTTTCAAGAAGGGCTGGGAAACGTCTTTTGAGCTGGGCATGTGGCCATCCCCAGCAATATAAAGGTTCTGTCAGTAAGGAAGAAGGGGATAATGGAGATTGGGAGACCAAGAGTCTCCGACGTACCTGCCTCAACCTTGGGTTGATAAGGTCCTTTATTAACAGTGACCATTAATCAAGTATAAGGAGCTGAACATCAGAAAAAAATGAAATTAGATTTTTTTAAATGACCCTCTTTTCCCAAAGCTGGCACAGAGAGGAACGAAGGAAGCCCCTGCCCACAGCGGTCCCCGAGCCAAAGCAAACGGCGCGAGGAGGCCCAAGGCAGTGCAGAGGGCATCACAGATGCAAGGCAAGGAGGGGCTGCGTGTCACCCACCTTGGGCGGCCCGTGTCCCAGGGTGGGAGCTCCCAGGACAGCGAGCCTGAGCACGGCGGCCTCATCGGGTTCCACAGGAGAGATTGGCACACACCGTGTCCTTTCGGGGGCCCCCGGGCTGGGAGGGTGCTCCGTGGCATCATGGGGCCAAGGCCGCCTCCCTGGCCGAGAGAGGCCCCTGTGCACCAGCTCCCGCCCGCGGCCCCCGATGTTGCCAAAGTTGGAGTCATCAAAACCACATATGACAGGCTGATTCTTTCTTTTTTAATTTTTTAAATTTTATTTTTTAAAAGATTTTATTTATTTATTCATGAGAGACACACACAGAGAGAGAGGCAGAGACACAGACAGAGGAGAAGCAGGCTCCATGCAGGAAGCCCGAAGGGGGACTCGATCCCAGGACCCCAGGATCGCGCCCTGGGCCGAAGGCAGGCGCTAAACCGCTGAGCCACCCAGGGATCCCCGACAGGCTGATTCTAAACGTATACATTTGTCACCATGGAGAGAAAAGGGCCTGATGGAACAGCGGCTGGTGGCCTGGGACACGTGGTAGCCGAGCGAGGGGGGCCACGCTGGGCCGGCTCACGGGCTCTCTGTTCTCAGGCCTGCCCACGACCCCTCGACCTCTACCCGCCCTCAGCCCCGGAGCTGACCCTTGAGGCTCCCGGACCGAGGACTTTCTCGGGCCACAGGAGCACACTGGGACCGGCGAGTCCCCACGCCAGGACCGGTCTACCCGGTTCCAGTCAGTGCCACCGGGCAAGGCAGCCCCGGGTCCTTCAGCCACCATTCAGAAAATTCTCCCTGAGGGTGTTTTACGGGCCAGGGGAAGGGGTGCTGGGGACCCGCTGTGAGCAAGGACCCCTGGCCTCTGAGCTTCTGGACCAGATAGGAACTGGCATCTGGACAGCGGGGAGGGATGCGGGGCATGGAGTGCGTGTCCCTGAGGAGGTTGACACTTGGGATCAGGTGACCCTGGAAGATCTCACCGAGCAGGTGACTTGTGAGTAAAGACAAGAGGGGGCAGGGAGAGACGCAGGCAGATTCTGGGCGGAGGGAACAGCAGGTGCACGGGCCCCCAAGTGGGGGCCGGCCCAGTGGGCGGAGGAAGAGCCCCAGCAAGGCCCGGTGGCAGGTGCAGGGGAGTGTGGGGGGGCGAGCAGCCAGGGAGGACGTCAGAGAGGAGGTGGGACGGGAGCCGGAGCCGGGGGTTCTGGGCCGAGGGCTGCCCCAGGCTTCCCAGAACTGCTGGGCTGCTGTCCTGCGAGGGCAGGCAGGGCCAGGACAAGGTCCATTAGGGGAGGGGTGGGGGCGAGGCCAGCTGGGCTCTGTCCTTTGTTTGCAAAGCAGCTAGAAAGACAAGAGAGAAGCCTCATACTCACTCATTCACCCAAGACCACCAGCCAGGCCCCAACCCCGCCGTCCTGGGGGGGTCACACCTCAACCCACCCAGTGGGGTGCTCACCATTCAGTGGGGTCAGGGAGGGTGTGTAGAATCGGGGGGGGGGGCACCCAGCTCCGAGCTCACTGGAGGATTTCAGTGAACTGGCTCGTGACCTACTGCAGGGTCCCCAGCCTGTCCCTGCCTCTGAGCCCAGAAGGGGCCTCCACTAGGACCTTCTGGATGGAGGGGTTCCTGGGGAGCAGGGCTCTCGGTGCAGGAAGATTCCTGGGCAAACCAGGCCAGGGTCAGCCCAACTCTGCTCACACGCCCTCCCCTCCTCTCCCTTCCCACTCCCCTCCCCGCTGTGGCTCCTCCCTGCCCAGAAGCACCCGGTGTAGGGCCCTGTTCTGGACGCACTGCTTCTGCGGGTCTCTGCTGGGTCTGCAGTTAAGCCCCTCCCGGGAGGGGGAGACCCTGCCTGGCTCACCTTGGCACCTCCATGGTCTGGTTCCACATCTGAGAGCCCCCAGGAACTTAGCACCCTGTTCTCAGGGTCACTCTTTCTAGTTACAAGTGGGATATGGCATAGGCAAGGGAGCACCTGCTAGGCCAGCCAGGCCAGTTCCAGAGAGGAGGCTCGCTGAGTGGGGAGGTGGTTAGGAAAAGCAGGATGGAAGGGTCTAGAAGGGCCTGGAGGATAAGATGCTGCCGAGCCTCTTCTAGCTGGGTGGGAGGTGGGTGTGCAGGGAGCAGGAACTGAGCTGCCCAAGCCGGCCTGTGCGGGGCCCAGAACACCGTGCAGAGGGCTGCAGGTGGTCTGGAGGGCACCAGGAAGCCATAGAGGTGCAGGACGATCCGATCGTGTGCATTGCAGTCGGGAGGCCTTGCCAGACCCTGGTGCCACCCCAGCCTGCTGCTCAGCTCTGTCTGCACCGAGCCCCACCTCCTGCAGTGGGAGGCAGTGGTGAGGCCTGGACCCCCTGCCAGCAAGCGGCTGTCCAGCAAGGGAACTGCTCCTGGGTGGGGGGCCTGGCAGGCAGCTCAGAAGGGCAGTCCAGGTCAGGCCAAGGCCCCAGCTGGGGGTGAACAGGCAGCTCAGGAGGGCAGTCCAGGCCAGGCTGCAGATCTGAGGGCCAGGCTGGGCATTGGGGGGCAGCCTGGGGGTGGCCGACACTAGCCCTGGATAGGAGGCAGGTGGGGGAACCTGCTAGAAGTCCAGGATAACAAAGGTGCCCAGAGTTAGGATGCGGGGGAGTGTTGGGGATCGGCTTTGGCAGCAGAAGATCAATGCTCCACTCTGCTGGACCCTGAAGGCTCCCTGGGCCTCTTGGGATGAATGGGCACGCGGCGCGGCCTTGGCTCCCAGCCCCAGGCCCACCTCGGGACGCCTCTGAGCCTGATGCTTATGAAGCAGGTCTAACGGGAGTCCTGGCCCAGAGCGGGGGGTGCGGTGGGCTGGGCGGGGTGGGGGTCAGTGGGAAAGGCACGGCCAGAGACCCTGTAACAGAGTGGGCATCCAGTAGCCTCGGCTCCAGGAATCAGCAGCTGGAAGATGCCGCCCAGCTCTAGGCCCCGGCGATCTGTGGTGTGTCATGGGCGCCCGTCCTTATCTTGCGGAGCGTGGTGGAGACCAGATAATAAAGCACGTCGATAGTGTTGTGACTTGAGAGATGGCACTGTCGTCAACCTGCCGCCCTCTCTTCAAATATTGGGATTTTAGAAAGGGCTCTGCTAAGGTCTGCGAGTTGTAAAGACACTGAGAACTTCCTGGCACGTGTCGTTTATGCACTTCTCTGGCTGGATTTGTTTTTCCCCCACAGAATCCTCACCGGAGTGTTCGTCGGATCTACTGGGCACGGACCAGCTGGGAAGTTTAAGCCGGAGCACTGACGCGGGGAGAGCGGGGCCTTGGACGTCCTGATCCGACGGGAAAACTCGGGGTGAGAACAAAATGCTTTCAGGAAGGCCAGGCCCCAGGACTGGCCGTCACCCAACAGTGTGGGGAAGTGGCGAGGTGGCCTCCTGAGCAGTCAGGGGCTTGGAAGGACTGGTGGAGAGATCAGGGCACCAGATGCACGTGGCCTGTTGGGGAGGCCGTGTTCTGCAATGAACTTCGGACTAGAGACAGCTCTGAGAGTCAGGGAAAGAGCAGTGTTCCCGGCTGACCCGGCACTTGCACTTACGGTTCTTTAAAAAGCGGTTTAATTAGAACAGATTCAAAGTGGTTGTAGGAAAACCTCCAGGGTACACACTGAACCACGGTCCTCATTCTAGATCCTCTGGTGTCTATGTCTGGGGCAGGGTGCCGTGGTGTCGGGGTCCCCCCTGCCTACCCTGGGGAGGAGCGCCCTGTTTGACTTAGACGCAGGCAGTGGCACGAGACGGCCACTGGGTCATGCAGGCGGGGAGACGTGCAGGCCAGACCACGCCCCGCTGGCTCCGAGCACCGAGCTGCTCGGTGCCCGTCGGGGGCTGAGCGGCTTGTCTCTGAGGAGGAGGAGGGACACCGGGCTTAGCAAGCGCCCCCCTCCGCCAGCGCACTCGGGGGCCAGCCTGTGGAGCAGCATCCCCAGGCCCGGGCCCGAGGCCCACCTCCCCACCACCTGGGATGTGGCCTGGAGCGGGACCTGACACCCTGCGGAGGTCGGGGGTGCGGGGACCTGGCTGACTGGTCTCTGTACCCCCAATGCATACAGTAGATGCTCAGTTAATGCCATTGTCAGGACATTGGTGAATCTGTCTCTAGATTCCCTTGTCAGAGACGCATAAATACGGGCCAGCTCTGTGCAGGAGAAACAGAAAAGCACCCGTGTCCTCCCATCGGGTTTAGGGCCCACCCCAGCCCTGGATGACCTCGTCTTGCCATAGCTTAACATCCTTGAATGTGCCATTTCCAGGCAAGGTCACATTCCGAGGCTCAGGGGACATGAACTCTGAGGGACCCTCTTCACTCCGGCTCCGAGTCTGACGGACCCCCTGCATTTCTCTCAGTTGCCCCCTGATACACTCCCGTCTGAGGTTTGCTTCTGGGGCCCCAGGGCTGACGCACAAACAGAGCTGTGGGGGGAGAGGCTGGGGCTCATCCTGGGGCGAAGCAGTGAGTGGCATCCGGAGTGGCACCTACAGGCCCAAGACTGGCTGCCCGTGGGACAGGCATCTGGGGGAGCCAGGGGTGGGGGGGTGTTCTGTGGAGAAAGGTTTGGAGGAAGGAGAGGCACCAGGTGGTGCTGAGCGCGCTTGAGGACACGTCCTGGGGCCCAGGGGTCATTGCAGGAGGCTGGGCCTGGTCCCCAATCCGGTGCCAGGGTGAGGGACACAGAGGGCACCCCAAGAGTATGCTGTGCACCCCACCTGCAGGGGCTGCCTGGGAGGGTGGAAGCTGGTTCCATTGTCCAAGGAACCTAGGTTATGGTGCTAACCCCGAGGCCGGACCCCTAAGCCCAGGTCAGAACCAGGAGTGGCCAGTCCGGGGGGACATGGCCAGAGAGGAGCAGAGGAGGGGAGGGGGGCCAGTGTGGGATGCCATAGGTGAAGTCTTGGGCAAGTTCCGGGGGCGGGGGATGCACAAGGATGCCCCTAGGATCTCGTGCCCCCTCTCCCGGGTTTCCAGCACCGTCTGAAAGGGAAGCAGGTAGGCACCACCTGCTTGCAGCCCCTTCCCCAGCCCAGGGCCGCGGCAGGTGAGGAGCTCCACTCTCCAGGGTCTGACCCCCCAGGGGGAGTGGGAAACGGCTCCTGGACATACTTGTGGGGCGAGGGCTGTGTTTCGGGTACTGACAACGTCCGAGACCCAAAGCCTCTGTTGCTTTGAACTAGATGTACCCTGGGCACCTCTTGGGGCCAGGCCCTCCCAGACCGTGGGATGTGATTCATCCGAGGCCGGTGTCAGCGTCCGGGGTCCCTCCGGGCGGGGTGGGGCGTCTCCCTCAGAGCCCCTGCTCAGAGCCTGTGGCCTCCACCCTCCCCGGGAGTGTTCCTAGATGCATCGGGGGAAGTGGGAGTGGCTCCTTCCTTCCGTGAACCTGCGCACAGCTCTTGGAAGGGCTCCAGGGCTTGAAAAGGACGTCTCGGTGAGTCAGGGGTGAATGGAGGAGGGTGACCCAGGTCCTCAGGGACCGAGCGAGTCCACTGCCCACCAGATAGCTCTGTGTCCTCCTCCCCAGGTGTGCACAAACGCGCACGTGCACACTCACTCATGTGAAGAGGCAAACACACACGTGTAAGGGCACACCTGGGAATATCAGGGGCAGCTGGGGGAGGAGGGATGGGGCCAGGCAGCCGGGGGCCTCCAGGCCTCGCCCCTCCTTGACCCTGGGGTCAGCCTGGCTTTGGCTTTGGAGGTGAAGAGGGACAGAGATGGGGCAGGAGAGCCCAGCTCTGAGCTGAGCTGGCCCAAGGGACCAGGCTGTGGGCAGCCTCCCAGCGCTACCTCCCTGTGGGGGCCCGGGCAAGCCCAGCACTTCTGAGCCCTTCTCTGCAGGCAGGAGCGGGGCGGCCCTCCTGGCCGGTGGGAGAGAGCCTGCCCTGCCGGGACTGGCCTCCACAGGCTCCTTTAGAGCCCCGAGAGGATGCATCCCCCCTCTTTTGGGAATGTGCTTTCATCGAGAAGGTGGTATTTCCAGGCTGGCCTTGGAAGCCCCCCTCTGAGTCCCCAAGACCTTGCTCTGTCCTCTCTGAGCTTCTTTCAGGACCCAGCTGGAAGTCCCGCCCCGGGTGCTAGGACGACAGGGAGGCCACCAGCCACCCCGGGGTCTATGCCAACATGCACTACGTGTGGGGAGGCAGGCCCCAGCTGGAATTTACAAAGCACCGTGAGACCTCAGTCTGGAACCCTCGTGGTCCTGGGAGCTGCGGACTTGATTGACTTTGCCCAATGTTCTGAAAATCCCTGCTAATAGAATATTCCAGTGAGGGAGCTGTTGTTAACCGCAAGCAAATGCTAGAACCAGCTGCAGAGGGGTCCAGGGGTGAGCCTGTCCAGCCAGGGAAGGCTCCGGCCCCGCTCAGAGAAGCAGGTGGGCCTCGGGCTGACCCAGGTGTGCATCCCCACCCTGACCACTCTTCAGTCGGCGGCTGACCTGCCCGAGCCTCAGGTCCTGACCTACCAAGGGGGGTGGCCCACTGACCTAGTGCCGCAGAGGCAGTTGGTGAGAGCGTCCATGCACGTACACAGAGCACTGAGCACCGACAGGGCGAGCCGTCCGCAGACTTTGCTGTCATTGCCATGGCCAGCCCCTTACCTCTGTCCGCCCTGGCCGGGCTGTGCAGCACCGCGGAGGGTCCTGAGGAGGGGCGTGTCCAGGGCACCATGGAGCAGGGGCGTCTGGCTTTTGCTGAGCGTCCACCTTCACCCTCAGACCAGCCTCATGGCGTCTGCGTGGCTAACCCCCCCTTGTAGCCGGTGAAGGGTGGGGCATGAGCTTGTCGGGGGTCTTTCTGCCCTTTGCACTGGACGGATTTGGGCAGCACCCTGTCTTCTAGGACGTGCTGTGTGAGAGGGGCTGAAACGAACTCTGGAGCCAGGAGCAAGTGCGGGGTGCAGGCTGGCTCCCAGGTGGGAAGCCCCAGGGCAGGCACGGAGGACACGGGCCTCGTGGTCAGTGATGAGGCGTGAGAGGTGTGTTGGGGTGCACAGGGTCGCTCTAACCCCATAGGGGAAAACGAGGAGGTGGGTGCGGGAGGGTTTCCTGGAGGTGGTGGTATCCGAACCAATGAAAGGTGAGCCAGACTTATCAGGGAGTAAAGAGGAAAGAGCACCCAAGGGCAGCAGGAACCGCAGGGGCAGAAGAAAATGACCTTGAGTCACCTCGGGCCCCTCTCGAGTGCAGGTGACTGCCTGACTTCCTCCTTTCCACCCGTTTCCTGTTAGCTATTTTTACTTGTCTTGATTCCTGGTCTGGATGGGTTCAGACCGTTCTCGCCTCTGTCCCGCCCCAGTACCCAGCGGCCAGCCGACCGACCCGTCAGGCAGGCCTGGCTTCCCTGTTTCCTGTGGAAGTCACCTTCTGTCCCCATTGTCTCAGCCCGCCGGCCGTCTCGGGGCCTGGCATCTGGACAGGTGCGTGGTGTCTGCAGCTGGGGAAGTACCCTCAGCATTGTCTTAAACACAGGGTGCTCTAGAAATAGACGAGACCGTTGGCTTTCTCTTTGGTCATATTTACAAAGACTATGCCCAGTCATAACGCGGGCGCTCCCACTCCCCCCCGCCCCCCGCCCTACACTCAGGCGGCCGCCGCTCCTGTCCTGAACACCTGACGCTTTTCTCCACCGAGGTGCATTCTGTCCACGCTTGGCCCTTGCTAATGGGTGCCAGAGCCTGTGTTTTCCTGTGACCCTATTGTTTCACTCAATACGAGGTCGGTGAATCCCTGCTGTGCAGCTGGACCCTAACCAATGGGCAGTGGGACTTTATTCTCTTATTCAAATACTCCTTGTGCACCTATTAATTCGTGCCAGACGTAGGGCTAGGCCCTGGGAACTGACGTGCACAGCGCAAAGGGCCTGCCTGGGATCCCCCAGCCTGCCAGCACCGGGCTTGGTCCATGTCGGGGCAGGTTCCACTTCAACCCTGTGCATCCTGCCCCCCTCCGCCCCAGAACTGTCAGGCACGACAGTCGCCCGCACACAGTAGACACTCAACGTTCACTATGCAGAACTGAACGTGGCCATTTAGGGGAGGGAAGTACTGTTACTTCCATTTTGCAAAGGACAAAATTTAGCATTGACTGCGTGGTGGTGAAGCCTGGCTGGACCTGAGAATCGCCGAGGATCCCCGTAGGACCACAGGGCCCGGGCCCGGCCCCACACACGCGGTCCTCCACCGCTCAGGGGTAGGGCCTGTCGGCCGTGTGGCCAGCGTGAAGGGCGGCCCCATGCACCCTTCAAAATCTTGTGAGATGCTGAGCTCGGAGATTACGCAGTCTCCCAGTGAACCCAGCGGTTAGCATTAACCAACATGTGGCTTCCTCTTATTTACGAATATTCTAAAGAGAAAACTATTTCTGACAGTGGGGTTCTAGCTGTTTAGGGCTGCAGCAGGCTATCTGGGCAGGCCAGAGGCGCTTGGCAAGGTGGCCCCGCCAGAGGCATAGCTACGGTGACACCCAGCAGCCCCCGTGCCCTTTGCTGTGACACTGTCTCGCTGGATGATGGCTTGGGCTTCGCCTGCTGTGCAGCTGTTCCGCATGCCACCTGTTGGAGCTGCACCCTGGCTCTCCTACAGCTCCCTGTCCTTCCCCACCCTAGGGCAGGGAAGAAGGGCCCAGCCCCAACCGCTGCAGTACACAAGTTGCTAACCATGTGCATACACACCACACACACATACGCGCGCGCACACACGAAGCCAGAAGCCATGCACCAGGGCACACGTATGCACACACACATGCATGAAGCCAGAAGCTCATGAACCAGGGCACACGTGTGCACACACATGCATGAAGCCAAAAGTCCATGAACCAGGGCAGGCATGTGCATGTGCACACACACACACGTACGAAGCCAGAAGCCATGCACCAGGGTACACGTGTGCACACACACATGCACGAAGCCAGAAGCCATGCACCGAGGCTCACATGTGCATACGTGCACACACACACACACAGCCTGCAGGATGCCCTCTTGAGATGTTCACAGGCCGGTCAAGGTCATCTGTCCCTCTCTGGCCCCTCTGCTCCCCCGCCTGGTCCTTCTGAGATCTTCCTATGAGCGAGGGCCTTCTCTGTGCTGGGCTCTGTGGCAGCTCCAGGGACTGAGCAGTGGCTGTCTCAGCTACAGTCCCTGTTCCAGGAACTGACGGACCAGCAGCAGGACAGAACAGGCCTCTAGAGGACTGTGTCGTAGATCCTGGTCCAGGGGTATGGGGGCCGTCACTGTGGGGCCACAGAGGAGAGCCTGGACGCACATCTGCCCCCGGCCCCCGGCCTGTGCTGCCCAGCCTGCCTCCTGAGGGTGTCTCAGTCTGTGGCCTCCACACTCGGCACCCACTGCCCACCCAGACCCCTCACGCCCCTTCCCGATGACCATAGAACTCGCATTCCATTTCCTGCCTCTGCCCTGAAGCCCGGAGCAGCCT